CTCTCTCTCTCTCTCTCTCTCTCTCTCTCTCTCTCTCTCTCTCTCTCTCTCTCTTATGCTGCGGGCAGTCCGATGCCTCGCATTAACACCCACGATACCGACAGTATTTCGCCACGTATCAACGCAGAGTTGTCACCACGCTTGGTTCAGGCATGCAAGCCAGGTTCGCGCATGCGCCACAGTCCGTGGCGGCCGTGCACGTCAAACCCGCATACCCAACACCAGCTCGTCGGATCGCCCAACCTTCACACTCACTCACCTTCCAACTTGCTTGTTAGCCGACCTTCACTGATCACGCTAACGTTGAAATTCTTAGAGAGCAAACTAATCGCGCTTGCAAAATTTATAGCATGCATGCCTGTGCGAAAGATACGAGATTAAGCTCAGATGGACAAGAAGAGAAGAGAGGAAGTGCCTACGGCTGCATGGCCAGGCGGCGGCGTGGGGGTCGTAGCCACTCTCCTCGCATCGATCCGGTCATGCAGGCGTTTCGGCCAATTAGAACAGAGTATGCGAGACGAGAAAGAAGAAGAAGGCGGGCGACATAAGAGAACCAAGAAAGAAGAAGGATTACAGTTACGATCGGGCCCGCCAAAAACGACAGTTGCAGAAGATTAAAGGCGCGATCCAATCAGAACCCCGTTCCCCACTCCACAAGATGCGTGCGAACGCTGAGCAACAAAATTCAGAGCACCTAAATTCCTAGTCTAAGTCCTAATTGCAAAAAGGAAATTCCGAAAGGAAAAACAATTCTGAGAGCCCGCGGGGGCTCGACATCAGTTAAAAATTCAGAAATGAAAAATTCCCGCGCGCTTATCGCGCCAAAATTCCTAATGCTCACAGCAGAACAAGAAAGAAGCTATGGCACAGTTATTCCTTGCGCCTCGTCTTGGCGCAGCCATCCAATCGTCGGGGCGGGGCTTTCCCGGCGCTGGCCCAGCGAATTCCAACAAAAACGGAAAAGAAGTGAGGGTATCCACGCAATTTGCCCAACCGAACCCTGCTTACGCCCGCCACCCATCAAAGCCCTCCCGTTTTCCCACATCGGCCTTGCGCAGGAAGTCGCGCGATTGCAGAAGACAGTTCATCACAGGGTCTCCTGTAGAAGCCTTAGAAGTAGTGGTAGGTAGGTAGTGAAGGTGAATTGAAAGAATTAGACAGCTTATATCCAGCAGCCTAGGTCAGTTGGTAAGGCAGGCAAGTGGCATTCAGGAGATCTTGGGTTCATGAGGCCCAATTGGCCTCATGTACCTTTCTGGGCAAGCTTGGCGCCCGCCACCTAGCTTTATGCCGCTAGTTCCCCCGAGTGGTATTCAGCAGAGCCGCTGATGTCCATAGGGGAAGGGGACCGGAGGGGAGGCACAGTGACTGGCCCATGGAAGAAGCTCGGTCCTGATGCTACCCGCTGACGCCTGGCCGGTATGTCCCACCTGCTGTAGCAGGTATGCTGGTGCGTGCAGCTCCCGCATGTTCCCTCGTTCGAGGCTGCGACGGGGTTCCCCGTAATACGATACTGACAATAGAAAAGGCCTGAAACTTGTTGAAAGGCCATCCTGTCCGGTTCGAAACTCTAATTCAATTACCTGTCCAAGTTCGAAACTCTAATTCAATTACCTGTCGAATTAGAGAACAACAAAAAAGGAGGGGGAGGAAAAGAAACAAATCTCTTTTATCGACTTGGACAGTCATACGGTATTTGCTCGCCACACGTCACAACTAGAGACCCCGAGAGGTGATGCAATCACAACGAGTTGGCAGTGGTGAGGGTGGAGCAACCGGGCAACTCCGATTTTGCGAAGTCGTGGAGCGAGGGCCTGTGCGGGCCTCGTTACAAGTTGCACCACTCGCCTTCGCCCACATTTTGAATGAATTTGGACACGGAAGCTCTCCTTGTGCATGCCTCCAAAATGTGTTGGCGGATGGTGAGTGGTGCACCTAGGCCGTGTGAGTATAAATACGGCGGAAGGCCCGTACACTCGCGCGGGCCCACTTGGAAGGTGCTATTGGCGGGGGCTTGATCGAGGGCGTCGGTCCACCTGGAGGAGGAAGAAAAGGCGAGTATATCTTTCATGTGCGGGGAGTATGCAGGGAGGGCAGGGAGCTATGGGCGTCCCTGAAGATGAAGATAATATAAATACGTAATTATAAATACGTAATTATAAATATGTGAATACATATAAATGGCCACATGTTGACGTTGTTACCGTGGGCGGAAGTGTACGGCGCCCTGTTTCGCTGTCGGATATGGGTCGTCACCCTTTGGGCGGTAATGAATCCGAGGCGACGTTGTGCACTCGGCAGCTTTTCTGAGGTGTAAATCCCTACAGGGAATTTCTGCACTCGTCATTGCAAAACCGGCAGTTCCCTCGTTCTGCTGTTTCAACATCTATACGTCCTAGGCAGCATGTACGTGTACATCTCAGCATCAGTGTTCAGCTACTTTATCATAGGATTCACATTTCAAAATGATAGCTAGAGATAGCCCGACATATTTACAGAGGTAGATGCAGTGTGTGTGTGTGTGTGTGTGAGAGAGAGAGAGAGAGAGAGAGAGAGAGAGAGAGAGAGAGAGAGAGAGAGAGAGAGAGAGAGAGAGAGAGANAGAGAGAGAGAGAGAGAGAGAGAGAGAGAGAGAGAGAGAGAGAGAGAGAGAGAGAGAGCCGGTGCAGCGTATGCAGGAGCTGGACACACAGGGCAGATAGGCCAGCAGAGGGCAAACTCTAAGCGAGAGCATCAAACCTTACCGAACATAACGGAACGTAAACGCGACGTAACGTAACGGAAAGAAACGTAAGGTGAGGTAACGTAACGTAACGCCTCCGGCCATCGGTTTTGACGATCATGCCGATGATGGAGGAGGCCATCGATCGGCGACGTTATCAGAAAAGCTGGCGGATGTTTCGTCCTGACCTTGAGGTGGTCTCGGCTATGGCGACATCTGCCGCGGTTCTTCTCATATTGTCAATCTACGGATTTGTACCGTTTCCATCTGCTGTTTGGAACCCTGCACTTGCGCCAAAGAGTGGACCAGGTGCTGCGGCAAGGACGTCAGGTCTTGGCGGCGCCTATGGCGGTAGCAATCGCGACTTTGCCGTTGGCGGCTATGGCGGTAGCAATCGAGGAGAGTGGGAGCTTGGCCGTGAAGATGGTCACGAGGTACATCAAGCTGGTGAGGAATCTATGGCGCCGCAACGATTGGCCATGGTGAAAAGGATGACCGAGGGATGGCGAAGACGGCTGCAGGTGCAACCGGGGTTGTTGCCGTCTATGTACCCTCCCCGACCTAATCTGACGGGGGCGGAGGCATCCTTGCAGAGTGTGGCGCAAAACGCGACTGATACAGCTCAACTTACCGCGTCTGCTAAGCAAAAAGACTGGGAAAACAGAGTGCAGGAGCGGATGGCGGCGTTAGAAGCGCGCTTTACGGCTTCTCTGCGCGAGGAGTACTCTTTCTGCATAAAAAATTTGTGAGTCAACTGTCGGCAAATTCGGAATTTTGAATTTTCTAACTTTCAGGCCGTGATTATGAAAGTGCATGAAGAAAAAGAAAAGAAAGGAAAAAAAAGCAAGAAAACGAAAAAGAAATGCCCGTGCATGTGGAATCGTTCTGGATGTCTCCGTATGTGCTTATGTGCGTGTGTTGGGGGGGGGAGGGGGCGTTGGGTTGGGGGTGATGAGTGGTGGGCGGGAGTTTCGTTGAGTTCTTGCCGAAAGCCGGTGGATCATATCGGCAGCCCGTTTACCGACGTTATCCCGATGCCCGTGTGACAGCGAGTGTGCGTGCAGCCGGGATCGTGCAAGTATCCCGGCGGGCCGTCGGAATAACTCATCCAGCTCGCACACATACTAGCTATGACGGGCCGACGGTATCTCGGTGGACGAACTCTCACCGGGTAATCGCGTGAGCTTTTGGTCATTCCGACTATGGGCATCAACAAACTCCGTGGGTGTGAGGGCATTACTCTGTGTGTGTGTGTGTGTGTGTGTGTGTGTGTGTGTGTGTGTGTGTGTGAGAGAGAGAGAGAGAGAGAGAGAGAGAGAGAGAGAGAGAGANGAGAGAGAGAGAGAGAGAGAGAGAGAGAGAGAGAGAGAGAGAGAGAGGACGGAGGGGAGGAGTGGGTGCTTTCGTCGACACCGTATCTCGTCCTTCTGTCACGGCAATAACGGCAGTCCCTTCTTGTTTTTATTTTTATTTTTTGGGATGTGCCGACGGCAATAATGCTAATTCAAAAATAACCCCCCCCAAAAAAGCCAATCATAAAACCCGTGCAGGTTGGTGTTTACAATTTGAATTTCTAGCTTTATCGTTATGCTTGATATTCCTTTTTCTTTTTTCCTCCAAAGATCATCCTTTTTTTTCATTTTCCTTAACGGGCTACGCCCCCTGGGTATCACCATCCAACTGACCGGTCCATTCATAAAGATTCGAACTCAGGTCTGGGTGTATGCTTATTATTTATGCGCACTCCAACCAATTTCTTGTTGTTTCTGAAATTTCTTAATAATTAATTGATGGTACAATAATAATTATCCCATCGTTTTCCACTTTCTTTTCCTTTTCTTAATTTACTGAAAAAAGTATGCACCGAGCCTTGGGCACTGGCCCCCTGTAACGGTAAAGAAGGGGGAGGGTTAAAAAAAAAAAAATTGCAAAAGGGTTCGCCTGCGAACGAGTTCGAAGCTCCCAGCTCATGTGGCCGAATGTCACACCCGTCCACTGTTGATAACACACCTGAGTTCGAGTCGTGCCTCGGTAATCAGTTAGGTGAAGTAGCTGCGGAAAACCTACCGTCCTACCCCGAATGGAACGTGCTCTCATTATGGCTGTATCTACACTGAAAGCTGCCCCAAATACAGGCATAATGACCGTACGTCCTATTCGGGGGAAGAAGGTAGGGCCGGTTCGGTTGGATGAAGATATCTCAAGGCCGTAATACCCAGATAAAGAACAACAAAAAAAAGAGAGTTCAGATTTCAAACGCTATTAAAACAAGAAGGTAACCTACCATCAAATGAACCCACCATACCCACCAGCCCATGTGGCTGAATGCATCCCCCATGCACTGTCCGAGTTCGGACCCGGCTGCTATCAGATGATAAAAACAGCACTGAATTATATTTACCCTGGGGCAACGTCAGTTCGATGATCATATCTCAAGGCCATTGACCTCTTTTTCTAAATTACAAGAAAACATTATTTTGTCTTTTTTCTTTTTTTCTTTTTTAAATTCATGGCAGGGCGCACCCGGCGCAGTGCCCAAGGCTTACAAGGGTGAAAAGAACCAAGTCGATCACGGGGGCAGAGAGTGACAGGTTCCTGTTTACGCTTCTTCGCAGGACCTCGATACCATCCTATCCTTTTTTTTTTTTTTTTTTTTTTCCCGCATCCAGTTTTAGACCTGTTCGAGGAGGTGATAAGCGCAGCCACCTGGAGCAGGCCTTCTGCTGGACCAGGTGCTCCAATCTATTGGTGGGGCGCAGCGAGGCCAGTTGGGAGGCTGGAGACTTACCTGTTGGCTGGGCATGGCTGGATCCCGTCCTATCATGGCATAAGATCAAATCCACTATTTTGTCAATCGCATTGCGAAGCCTGATCCGAAACAGATTGGTAAAAGAAAAAAAGAGAAAAAAACTCACGGCAAGAGTCTAACCGTGCGCGTAGTCGGTAAACATGACCGTCAAATCCTCCCCCCCCCTCCTCCCCTCCCCCCCCCAAAAAAAAGACTTCATATCATATTGCAGTGTTGCAGAGATTCACAGATACTGGCCATGGATCTTCCTTATCTACGGACTGTATCAGATTCTCTTAATCAGTGCCAATGGACCTCATCCCGGGAAGGCCATGGAATTGGACTACTTGGGGGGGCGCGGAGAGGTGGGGAGAACCAAAATGAGTTTAAACGACCTTAAAAACCACCCGCAAGAAATCACTAATAGAAACTCTCACTCCCGCTGGCCCAAGTCCAAGATCCTACGAGAAAAGCTGACATCGTTCTCACTTGTCTGCGATGTTGTCTCTCCTAGCCCTTTCATAGTATGACACGATGTTTGGGCCTGTCGCAGGCATCTGATGCTTGGTGTACCATCTATTGTCCTCTGGTTCCTGGTACTGGAACTGAACTTTGAACTGCTGCTGCAGCCTTCACCTCCTAGCATGCTGTAGACGTCCTCATCTATGATACGGTCAATGTCACATAACAACCGTCCATATCAGGGGGAATTATCCGAAGGGAATGCATACCCGGTCACACAAGGTAACAATTTTGAGGCATGAAACATAGGATAGGAATGCAGGTGTGGCGGTATGTCACCGACATAGGACGGACCATCGGACCATTTGGATCACGTATGATGCCCGTAATCTCCGATGGCCCTCTATATGCAAAGCAGTTTATGAGAAATCCCTCCTTTCGGTAGAAACTCTTTGGATTTGATCGGAGCAAAAGTTCCCTCAACAAACTTAGAGGGTCTAAGGTGTTTCTTAGCTTGTTGTACTATCTGGTGTTGCACACGTCTGAAGTTCTCCGTTACTTTACGGAAGTCCTTTTCGTAGTCCAGTGGAAATTCTCATGTTTCAGGTGGTAGCCTTTGAATTTGATCAGGGCTAAGGCAGTCAATATGTCTCCTAGGCTTCAAACCCTTGACAATGTGCAGTTCATTTGGAGTGCGCACTGGTGACAGATGTAAAGAGTTAATTGTAAGCACTGGCTACCTTCGGTAGGTGTTTGTCCCGATCGATCGATATGATCTAATATACATATGAAGAGTTTGCTGCGACAGCTTATTCATCTATTCAGTCTCCGTTTGTCTCAGGGTGCCTGGACTACCGGATGCCATAGTCAGTTTGGACCCACAAACTTTCATCAACTGTTGCCACTGCTCTCCCATGAATCTAACATCTCTATTGCTCACTATATTGCTCAGTGCTCACTATAGTCGAATGGTGCCCATGGTCCTTCACCTAGCCGTTAAAGACCTCCCAAATCACTAACTCTGTCCTAGCTCCGGATGGCAGCTGAATAAAAACAGCAAATCACGAAATCTATCTCATCACCTGACTCTTCCCATTTCTGCTCTTCACATTATATAGCCATGAAGTTTGTAGTTACAAATTTCCTTAGACCTGGCGATATAAAATGTCAAAAGGTTAGGCTGTCCTCCCCTAGAAGGGTCAGGGAATGCAGCGCCTTTTCTAACTTCTCCCTTCCCTCCAACCAGAAGTGTGGCTTGATTCCCTCAACATACTCGTCCACACTCATCTTCCTGTCACCTGCTAGTGTTGACACTGCTGGCTCCCATAGGGGTCATACTGTGGTCCTTCACCTGCAAGTATTTGTCTGTGGTTGCGTTCAAGGCGGCTACACTCTTCCGTTGTTGCTGCTCTATATTTAGAATGTTGTTTTCAGTCCATCCGTGTTCCTATCTTCAAACTATTGAACAGCCCCCACAAGAAATCTATATGTCCTTCATCCTTGCATACCATACCATGTTTCCCTCACGACCTGCTGCCTCTGCATAAGAAATCGCTCAGCTCATCGCATCTCCCGCAAGCACAGTACCTCCGTCACATCCAACCCTTTCTTCTTTGCCTCCAATTCTCTCTTTTTCTTTTCCTTCTGTTTCTTCTGCTCCTTGTATCATCCGGCGCTTGGTTCTGACACTAATTGGACTCTCTCAGGGCCTTCATCAATATGCTGCACGTCTTGAAGAATTCTAATGGGAAAATAATTTCCAATAGAGGTCCCATATGATCGGGAAGCCAAGGAAAGGCATAAAAAAGGGTAGTCGTCCATGATGGTTAAAGTACAACGGTCGGTTAGGGTCACGGCTTTCATTTCACTTCCTGCCTACCACGTACTCTCTAGCCTCAAGACGTAGACTTCCAGGCAAATCACTGTTAGCTTGAACTTACTGCAGGCCCCATTGCCTCTTCGGTTACTGTAGGTTGCAAGTTTTGTCGATCAAGCCAACCAAGACTACCTGCAACGTCCTTAGGAATTATTTTACGCTGCAGACAGGATAGTGTGGCTTGATGACAGGGCCAACTCCCTCTCAACATGTAGACTGGTCTTGCTGAATCGAATGGTTCGTTGCACGACAATGGGCTATAGCCGGGTTCTTTAATAAGCACCCGCCACTTTATGCCTGCACAACTACTCTGCATGGTCCCCTACAAGCTGTCAGACCATATCACATCTGTCTGCCTATCACTTAGCACCCTCAACACCTAAACTAGGACTATTGCGCCCCACGCTTGCCTCTAGAGCCTTTAGCTCGAAGGATAAGCTTGACAAGCATAATGTCTACATCGTGATTTCCACCCTCCCGGCGCTGCATGCAACCCTGTGCACTCCATGAGAACCGTGGGGAGCCTTTCCTCCAGCAGGTTATCACTACTGATCACATGTACCAGCATTTTACTCCTAGGCTTAATTGACGCCAAAATGAAATCAACACTAATGTAATGACCCGCCAAAACACAGACTGAGAACATTGCTGATTTCTGGGATTTGCCGCTGCATTGAATGCCTTGTTGAAATTCCCGCATTCTGCTGTGATTTCCATGTCTGTGTGTGTGTGCGTGCCTGCTGGTTTGCATGCCTGTCTGAGTGCTTGACGGTTGAGTGTGTGTGTGACCCGCAAGGGTACTTGTTGGTTGCAAGGCCCCGCAGGCCGGTACTTACCTGTGGCCGTGACTGTGAAGGGTTGCAAGGGGAAAACACTCGAGTAGCGGGGATAGGCCCGCGGCACTTAGAGCAGAGGGGAAAAGCACTCAAGTAGCAGGTAGGCCGGTACCACTGAAGTAGTGGTAGGAGTGTCGGGTACTGGAGGCCAAGCAGAAGAAGACAAAAAATTGGCATTTTTAGAGGCCCAGTAGCGGTAGGTTAGAGGTAGGCCGGTACCAGTCCAAGTACCCCGGGTCTAGGGCCTGTGCGGAGGATACCAGAGCCTGCAATGATGTTTCCCTCCGAAAGGGAGGAGGTACCGGTTGCTGGGAGGCCGCTAGGCCTAGGAAGTCACCGCCCAGGAGGCCGGTAGGCCGCTATATCTTCAGGAAGAGCAAAAAGCTCTTCCTCATTTGCGGTGTGCAAGGATTGGCGACATGCTGCTGGAGCGCAGCGCTGGACCAGTGCWGCGCTGCTTGGAGGTGAAGGGCAGCTGGAGCTCAGCCTAGCTATGGTGAGCAGTCCAGCTTGAGGAGGAGGAAGAAGGGGGCATGGTAGGAGAGTGGCGGGGCACTTACCTGGCTATGGAAGACACCATCTTCATCATCTTGTTGGGCGCTGCATCTGGAAGGCCCCAGTTGGGGTAGTGCGGCACNACTTACCTGGCTATGGAAGACACCATCTTCATCATCTTGTTGGGCGCTGCATCTGGAAGGCCCCAGTTGGGGTAGTGCGGCACCAGAGAAGCTCGAGGCAGAGTCAGGCATAGCRGACCAAGTCAGCAGCGGCATAGCTGCTTTGAGTRGTCCTTTGSGMATCAGCGCAGCACCATAGCTGCTTGGGTTGTCCTTTGGACGTCAGCGCAGCACCCTAGCTGCTTGGAGTAGTCCGCCATAGCCTATGCATGAGAGAGGAGGCGGAAGGAGGGAAGCCATAGCTATGGTGGACTGGTTGTTGTTGTTGTTGTTGTTGAGTTGAGTCAGCAGTAAGAGGGAACTTCGGATATTGATTCTGGTTCATCCATTCATTGTTATTATTATTATTGAGAGAAGAATAAGATTGGTGAAGAGAAGTAGGAGGAGGAAGGTGGAGAGAGAAGGGGGAAATGTCATTGGTCTTGTTGGTGTACTTCTTCTTCTTCTTCTTCTTCTTCTTCTTCTTCTTCTTCTTCTTCTTCTTCTTTACCTCTCCTCTGGTCTTTATCTCTTTGCAAGTGCTTTCATTTCTTTCGCAATTGGGTGGCATTGTCTTTCATTGTGAATTTGCACTTGGGAAATGACCAGGATCGTAACAATTGGTATCAGAGCGGACTTACTTGCTGGCGAGAGGTGTTAGTCACCCTAAACGTAATTCCGAATTAGGTCAGGGCTAACCTAACTTCGGATTAGGGTTGGAAGTTAGGGTTAAGTGGGGCAGTGAGGTATGTGGATGCTGCCCCCACCTGGTTAGGTCATGTAGGGTCGACATTTGACTTGACCAGGTTGACTGAGTGAATGCATGGGGTGGCGAGACACAAAGGAGGCTGATTGGAGTAAGCGAGAGGGAGTAGAGAGTGAGAGGTACTCTCACCTGGAATCTGCACTTCAAGAAGACATTGAGTGACTTTTGGGCTTCCCCTCAAGAGGGAGACTTGATCGGAGGCTTCCATATCTGCATCGGATTGCTGCAAGTTGCTACTTTGGTCTTCAGACATCGACGGGGGATCCGGCTTTGCAACAGGGGTGTAGGAAGGCCCTCTTAGTCATACTAGGACACTTCGTGTAGTGGTAGCTAGGGGTCAGGAGGACTTATGAGAGAGGGGGGTGACTCGTTATCCATCTTTGGAGGCCGGGCCTCACAGGTAAGTGCCGTGTGACCTGGGTATGCCCGTGGGAGGTTGCTTGGTACTTCATGGCCTGTTGGGGGTGTGCTGGGCTCTCTTCCTCTTCTCTGCGGTCTTGGTTGGGCGTGTGAGCATGTGGATTGCTTTCTCACCTGAGGGATGGATGGATGATGTATCTGTTCTAAATGACATATCTTTCTACAGTGCATTGTCTTTTCATTTCTGAACGGCTGTAGGGGTAAGTTCTTGCTGAAAGTTGTCTTTTCCTTTTCAGTATGGTAGAGGCAGTTTGGGACTGACTTGGTACCCCTATCACGTTGGTCCTGGTCCACGACCTACTTGGGACCCCTCGGGACCTAGTGGGACCAGGCCCAACGGGACAGGAGCTTTTGGGCCCAAATTTGTTGCCTCCTGTGCATTTCTTTGCTGCGCTGAACTTGGGGGGACATACGGCAAGCAAGGGCATTCCTTTCAAGGGGATCTTGACTGGTCTTACCGCCTGTTATCACATACTGCCCCGCGTCTGACTCGGCGACCGTCTGTACCCCTCAAAATCTCCATTGCTGCAGTTAGTTTTCTTCGCCTGACTTATCGTGATGCATGCCCCTTGTCAGGTTAGACAAGAGGGGATCTCCAGCTGATGTGATCGGGCCCGTTCTATAAGTCAGTCCTCTCTTCCGTTTTTATTTTTATTTTTATTATTTATTTATTTATTTATTTATTCTTTTCTGTTGCGTGCTGCTCTCTGAGTCCAAATGAATTGCCGCTCCGGCTAGGAGTTCTACCTTCTTCTCTGTGTGAACTTTCTGATTGTTTCTTTCATCTGAACTATCTATGTCCGGTATCGAGACACGTGCATAGACAGCGAGAAGAGAAGAAAGGGAGAGTGAGGGTGTTCTGTTTGAGAGTGTGAAGAGGGGCAAGAGGAGTGTTCGTCCAAACATAAGGAGAGAGCGGACCCCTCTTGAGAGACCTACTGACACCCCTTCCTCCGGCATGGCTAATATCACATCTGCCCAATGGCAGGCCATGCTGGATGCAGCAGATGAGAGCGAGAGACCGTTCTTCCAGAGGCTTTATGATGACGCTGTGTAGAGGGAAAGGGAGGCAGAGGCAGCAGCCAGAGCTGCCAGCATTGCTGATCAGGTGGCTCTCCTTCGGATCCCTGAAGCCAATGCTGACCGGTTCCAGGAGGGACTAGCTGCTGCCGTAGCAGCCTTGGTTCGACTACGGACCTTGGAAAACCTTGAGTCCCGTGTAACAGCGCTGGAGCAGCGGAACCAAGAGCTGCAGGCTGAGATAACCAGCCTTAAACAGTCTCAACTATCTGGCCCCCGCCCTCCTAACCCTCGAACTGCTGTAATCCCAGTCTCTCAGTCCAACACAGTCCTCGTGCCAAGTGCCAGTGGAACTGTGGCAAGCGCAGGAACCGGTGCCAGCTCCTCGAGCGGCAGCGCCGGCAGTTCTGCACTGGTCACAGTCCCCAATGCAGGGACATCAGCCCAACAGTACAGCGGTCCCATGGTGGACAAGAGGGCGGCCACGCTGCCGTCCAAGTACGACGGGAAGGCAGACATTACCTCTTGGATTAGCTCCATGAGGTCATACTTCGAGGTTATGCGGACACCGCAAGAGGACCGAAGTATGATTATGGGGACTAATACCGAGCCCACCGTACGGAACTACATTGAGCTCCAAGCTTTTGCTGCAGGTTATGAACGAATTGACCTGATAGAGCGGCTGAAGGTAACCCCTGTACGCGCACCCTTGAGGACCTTCTCCTCGCACGGTACCAAGACAAGCATGCTGCGCTCAAGGCTAGGTTGAAGCTTGAGGCCCTCAAGGGTCAAACATGGAGGTCCTCCATGCAAGCTTTGGAACAACACTTGACTGGTTTGTTCACCACTCCAGATCTGGGAATGACTGACGTGTCTTGTATGGATGTAGTCATGGGAGTGGCCCCCAAAGAATATCTCTCCCTGTTGGCACTCAAAGACCACACGACCTGGCGAGAGCTCATGACGGATCTAGTCAACCTAGAAGCCAAGGACCTCGCCAGGCGGAAGAAGGCGCCCGCTGCAGGTGGGAAACAACAACGCAAGTGGTTTGGAAGCAGCAACCAGCTTGCACTGCATGATCATCGGGAGGCTGACGATCAGTCCTATGCGGATGATTTGTCTCTAGATGATGATCTAGAGCCGGACTCCGATATGGGCTGTTCCACATCAGCCATTGAGTCCGACGTCAACGAAGATGAAAAATTGAATGCTTTTAGAAACAAGGGGCCTAACCGTGGTTCAGGTAAGGGAATTGTTGTCCACCTCCCAAAGAACGCGAAAATCCCTGAGAAACCGGAGGATGCATCAACCAAGCCTTGGGAAGCCCTCCGTATCAGTCAAAAGGAATGGGAAAGAAGATCTAAACTGCGCATATGCCTGCATTGTCAAAAGCCTGGGCATGCTGTGCAGGACTGTTATAGACTGCAGGGAAACAAGCAAAGGGCGTGGAGGAGTCATCAACACTCCCTACAACAAGGGAAGTTGGAACATCAGTTGCAGGCCCCTCTAATGAGCCTGAATCTGATCAACAACCCACTCGTGAAGCCCGGAACGACACTGATTCCAAGGCTGCTGCAATTCATGTGCTTTACACTGAGACTTGGGAGGAGTCTAAGGAAGTTGACTTCCACGCTGACATGGAACACTGGTTGCAGCTCAAGCAGCAACGCCGTGTTCAAGGGAGTGTGGAACTAACCTTCTTTAAACTGCTCATTAACCGCCGATACATCCGCGTGCTGATTGATAGTGGTTCAACCACTAACTTCTTTTCTCCCAACGGGATTCGTAAGGCGGGCCTGGGAATGAAGCAAGTGGAACTGCAGAACCCTTGTCAGACCTAGGTGGGCAACCAAGAGGTTGTCACCTCTACACATGCTGTCAAAGGTGTGCGCGTCACCTTTGACAAAGACCGCAATGTCACACATGAGCTCAACTTCTATGTCATGGACAAGTGTCCGTTCGACGCGGTCATTGGCTTGGGCTGGTTAAAGGCTCATTGCCTAAGGACCACGCGGGCGGACAACCAGTTCGTGGTGCGTGATGCCAAGGGGAACGAGCGTAACGTCCTATTGGATGAGACACACGAGTCCCCTGTGACTCTTCTAAGTGCAACCAAATTCTGCAAATCAGTGCGCAGGCGCAAGGAGATTGAGCGTGTACATGTGGCTTTTGTAAAACCTATCCATGTGCCTTCTACTTTTGCTGCRTTTTCTACCTCGGTAAGTAACTCTACTTCTATCACCTCTGCTTCTAATCCATCTACTTCTACTGTGAATAATCCTTCTACTTCTAATCCGGTTGTCATTGTTGTAAATTCTTAGTCTAATTTTCTTTCTCCTGATGAGGATGATCCTCCACCGGAAGTCCCAACAAACATTCGCCAGCTATCAGATCGATTCCCTGAAGTTTTGGCCGAACCTCGTGGAGTTCCCGAGCGTCCAGTCAAACACAAAATCGAGATAATAAAGGGGAGTGTTCCTCCAAAGGGCTGCGTCTACCGTATGGGACAAGGCGAGTTGGAGGAATTGAGAAGGCAGATTGATGATATGATTGACCGTGGATGGATTAAGCCCAGTGAGTCTGAGTTCGGTTCACCTGTCCTGTTTGTGCCAAAGAAAGGAGGCAAACTCCGGATGTGTATTGACTATCGTGGCCTTAATTGGATCACAAGAAAGAATGCTTACCCTTTGCCTCGCATAGATGATCTGCTGAATGCGACAGGTGGGTGCAAGGTCTTCTCCAAGATCGACCTCAAATTTGGTTACCACCAGATTGAAGTTGACCCGAGTGACCAGCACAAGACTGTATTCAAAACACGTGATGGGCTGTATGAGTTCATCGTTATGCCCTTCGGTCTTACGAATGCGCCGACCACCTTTCAGTGCCTCATGGACAAGGTACTTCGCCATCAACTCGACAGGTTTGTGGTTGTGTACCTTGACGATATCCTGATCTTCAGCAAAACCATGAAAGAGCACCTCAAGCACCTTGAGGAAGTTTTGCAGGTCCTCAAGGAGGCGCAGCTGCACGTCAAATTAGAGAAATCTGAGTTTGGGAGGGACAGCGTCATCTATCTTGGACACCGGTTGTCTGCAAACGGCCTTGAGCCGGAGGCAACCAAGGTTGAGGTCATCCGAAACTGGCCTCAACCGGTAAACGTACGCGAACTGCGTTCTTTTCTTTTTCTGGCCTCGTATTACCGGAAGTTTGTGCCCAAATTCTCTGTCATTGCTCACCCTCTCTCAAGACTAACCAGCAAGAATGTTGCCTATGCATGGTGTGAGAAGTGTGAGACTGCGTTCCAAGCCTTGAAAGAGGCATTGGTAAGTCATCCTGTGCTTCGCATCGCCGATCCCAACCTCACGTTCGTAGTCACTACGGATGCGAGCCAGTTCGGGATTGGTGCTGTGCTGCAACAAGATGACGGTGATGGTCTGCGTCCGCTACAGCAAACGCATGCCCAGCCACAAGGTACCTACTTCCACAGATATGCGTGAGCTCTACGCCCTGCGCGAGGCTCTTGCACATTGGAAGCACTACCTCTTGGGTCGCCACTTCAAGGTCTACTCAGATCATCAGACCTTGCAGTGGATTCAGACACAATCTGAACTCTCTCCTACATTGACCCGCTGGTTGCATGACATTGATGTCTACAACTTTGAATTGAAACACAAGAAAGGCTGTTATAACCGGGTTGCTGATGCGCTGTCTCGCTATCCTGAATTCTTGACTTGCCTCGTGGGTTCGTATGACCTCCGAAGGAAACTGAAGGAGGATCTGGTCGAACACACCGCCATGGATCCGGACCTTAGTCCCATCCTTGAGCAACTCAAGGCTTACCCTAACAGTCAACCTGATTTTCATGAGTGCGAGGGTCTTGTATTTCGCCGGTATGGGAAGTTTGATCGCTTGTGTGTACCCAACCATGCGCCTCTCCGAACGCATTTCTTGGATCTGGCACATGGTCGGAGTGGACATTTCGGCTTTGAGAAGACTTATGGAAGTCTTCTGCAACAGTTTGATTGGCCAGGAATGAAAGGATCTGCTCAGAAATTTATTGTTGAAAGTCAGGTATGTCAGAGAACCAAGGTCCACAGGCATAAGCCTTATGGCCTGCTGAGACCCCTCCCCATTCCTGATTGACCCGGTGAGTCGATTTCCATCGACTTCACAGACATGGGAAAGGTGAGTGAGGCAAAAAATTCACAAGTCATGGTCATTGTGGACCGCTTCTCCAAATTTCTGAACTTGATTCCTTTCCCTCCCCATGCCCCAACTGAACTTGTCATCGAAGAATTCCATCAGCTGTACATTCTGCAGTTTGGCGTCCCGAAAACTATTGTGAGTGATCGGGACACCAGATTCATCAGCAAAGATTGGAAGGACTTTACGTCTCAAATCTATGACATTAAACTGAACAAGACTTTTGGTCGACACCCCGAAGCCAATGGTTTGGCCGAGGAGATCAACCAGACTGTTATCCAACTACTTCGCGCATTGATTGTTCCAGATCAGAACACGTGGGACAAGGAGCTGCACAAAGTGAAGGGACTGTATAACAACTCCATCCACTCTGCAACTGGCGTGACACCAAACCAGTTGCAATATGGACGATGCGTAATCCCCTCTTCATATCTGTTCCCTGAACGGTCACCTGGTCTGATGCCTGACATGCCTTGCTACAATGCCAAGTACGCACGCGTGCTCAAAGCTGTTATTGCAAGCCACGAACAAGCGCCGGCATGCCATGATCAAACATGCTAACAAGTTGTGCAAAGAAGAAAAATTCAAAGTAGGGGATTATGTTTGGGTTAAAATGTCTGAGTTTTCTGATGAAGAGGGCATATTGCGCAAACTCCTTCCATTGTACTATGGCCCCTGGCAGATTCTGAAGGTGATTGGGGATGATTTTGGTCCTTCATATGTGATTGACGTGCCTCCTCATTTGCGCACGTATCCGGTCTTTCATGCGTCCAAACTGTTTCCACATATTGATGATGAGACGTTTCCATTCCGAGACCCTATGATACCTCGCCCTGTCGTTTCTCACGAGGGAAGAGGGAGGAACAGACAGTACAAGGTTCACTTCCTCTATCACCCGTTGACTGAATTTTTCTGGATCGACCGAAAGGAGCTGCGAAAGAGTGCTCCCCGTGTTGTGAACGCTTATGAACGACAGATCGCTGAGGGACAGACTGCTAAATTTGTTGCAGAAATGACACCTCATGGACTTACTAAGTCTCTCCTTCTGATTTACTCCTACGATGCATTATGTGCCAACTCTGATTGAGTTACTCGCTTGAAGGGACCTTGCTCTTGAGAGGGGGGTAATGTAATGACCCGCCAAAACACAGACTGAGAACACTGCTGATTTCTGGGATTTGCCGCTGGAATGAATGCCTTGTTGAAATTCCCGCATTCTGCTGTGATTTCCATGTCTGTGTGTGTGTGCGTGCCTGCTGGTTTGCATGCCTGTCTGAGTGCTTGACGGTTGAGTGTGTGTGTGACCCGCAAGGGTAGTTGTTGGTTGCAAGGCCCCGCAGGGCCGGTACTTACCTGTGGCCGTGACTGTGAAGGGTTGCAAGGGGAAAACACTCGAGTAGCGGGGATAGGCCCGCGGCACTTAGAGCAGAGGGGAAAAGCACTCAAGTAGCAGGTAGGCCGGTACCACTGAAGTAGTGGTAGGAGTGTCGGGTACTGGAGGCCAAGCAGAAGAAGACAAAAAATTGGCATTTTTAGAGGCCCAGTAGCGGTAGGTTAGAGGTAGGCCGGTACCAGTCCAAGTACCCCGGGTCTAGGGCCTGTGCGGAGGATACCAGAGCCTGCAATGATGTTTCCCTCCGAAAGGGAGGAGGTACCGGTTGCTGGGAGGCCGCTAGGCCTAGGAAGTCACCGCCCAGGAGGCCGGTAGGCCGCTATATCTTCAGGAAGAGCAAAAAGCTCTTCCTCATTTGCGGTGTGCAAGGATTGGCGACATGCTGCTGGAGCGCAGCGCTGGACCAGTGCWGCGCTGCTTGGAGGTGAAGGGCAGCTGGAGCTCAGCCTAGCTATGGTGAGCAGTCCAGCTTGAGGAGGAGGAAGAAGGGGGCATGGTAGGAGAGTGGCGGGGCACTTACCTGGCTATGGAAGACACCATCTTCATCATCTTGTTGGGCGCTGCATCTGGAAGGCCCCAGTTGGGGTAGTGCGGCAC